TTAGAATTATGAGAAATAAATTATAGATATCTGTAATTGAGTTTGAATAGAAGTCAGTTGTTAGAGTTCACTAGTTGTGTTTAAGTTATAGATATCTACAATTTCTGCTAGAAATTAATCATTTCTTAATATCAACAACAAACATTTAGACTCGTGAGAAATGAAACACAGAAATCTGCCATTAAGTTTCAACAGAAGTTAATGGTAAAAGCTGTGATAAATGTACAGACATCTACAACGGACAGTTCTACCACGAGGAACTTAGTTACTGATATCAAGAATTAACATTTTGACTTGTCAGAAATTAATTGACTAGTGAGAAATAAATTATAAATATTTGTAACTGAGCTTGAATGGAAGTCAATGGTTAAAGTTGTTATTAAGTTAAAGGCATCTACAAGAAGCATTTTCAATAGCAAGAAATCATTTGTTGATATCAAGAATTAACATCTTGACTAGTGACAAATAAATTGTAAATATCTGTCATTGTGTTTGAATAGAAGTCAATGGTAAACACTGACTAGATGTAATTAAGTTATAGACATCTACAATGCACATTTTTAATTCTACGAAATCAGTTGTGGATCTGATGAATTAACATCTTGACACGTGAACTGAATGACGGACATCGATCACAGTGTTTGAATAGAAGTCAACGGTAAAAACTGACTGTTTGCAATGAAGAGAACATTTTGACTCGTGAGAACTGAAATACTGTAAATATCAGGAAATAGAATTGCTTCTCGTCAGAATTACATTTTGGATTTGTTGGAAGTCTGATCAGTCAAAAAACAACCGTTAACATCCACAACTGCTATTACTGCTGCTGATTATACGTTTGAAGGGCTCCCAGATGTGACCAACCGTTCACGAGAATCAAACCTGTCTGGGCCTGGATAGCTCCAGAGGGTAGGGCAGGACTCATGAACAGGGGCTACAGTCTCTGACGCAGCGGCCCGGGTTCGATTCCACCCAGCGGCTCATTTGCTACATCTCATTCCCCCACGTTTCTCTGTCTATCTTTCACTGTCTCTGTCAATAAAGGCGGAAAAGGCCAAAAATAAATCTTAAAAAAAAATAAAAAATCAAACCTGTCAACAAGTAACTCACCAACAAGAAGCTCAATGTGGAATCTTTGTTGTTGGATATGCGGGAAATGACAGGTGTAGCTTCCACTGTCAGACTGTCGTGTGTTTCTGATGCTGATGGAGGCGTTGCCGTGACGTAGTTCATCTGGAAAATGAGACACTCGTCCTTTGAACTGCTCGTCTTGACCTGGACGTCCATTATTGTAATGAGTGCCGGCGTCGTACAGAAACACCTCCTGTCGACCATCTTTCTTCCAGACAAA